TGCAGCAGGACTGGGAGCAGCTGCGCTGGCGGTGCGAGGGGCTGGGAGGCGGCTGCGCCAGCGTGGACGATGGGAGCGCGGACGGCGGCGTGGCGGCCTGGGAGAACTGCGTCCGGCGGTGAGTGGCGGCGTGAGGGCTCTGCCCGAGTCGGGTGGCAGAGCGCAAAGCTGGGGGAGGCTGGCTGAGCTGCGCCTAACCCAGGGCTGCCCTCCTAGGACTGCCAGCACCGGCCCCCGCCTTCTCCCCGTCCGCTCCCACAGGTGCATGTCCCCTGCCTGCTACGGAGGGCTGTACGAGCGGGACGCACTGGAGGAGGGGGAGGAGGAGGGCGAGCGCGGCGCCGCCCTCCGCGCCTGCATGCTGCGCGAGGCACGGCAGGCGCGCGCCGTGGCGCTGGGCCTGCCGCCCCAGCCGCGCCGCACCCCGGGCTACAAGCACACCCAATCATAAATAGAGAAAATATCGAATGTTGCTGGAAAATGAGCGTGAGGGAGGCGCAGCATGTATTGCAACATTCCCAGAGCGCGGCCTGGGTGGAGCCAGGGTGGCGGCGCCAGGCGGGCGTCATCCATCGGCAACGCCCGTTGCCGGTTCGATCATGCTCTCAGTGGTTCTTGGCCAGCTCCTGCAGCCTGTGCTGCAGAGCGTCCTCCCTGGGATTGTAGTACTCGCCTGCAGCCGAGGCAGGGGCCAGCAGAACAGCAGCATGGGTTGGCAGCGCGGGCGGCAGAATGCCGCTCTCTGCGCCTCTTGCCATGCCCTCGCTACAGCAGCAGCTGACACGCCCCACATGCTGCTGGCCCGCCCACGATACCACCAGGCCTCACCGTAACCGCGCCAGCGCTCGTACAGAGACAGGTGCTTGGGGTTGGTGGCGGGGCCGTGGTAGTTTTGAATCTGCAGAGCAGGGCAAGAAGGTGGGCTGGCGTGCTCGCGCGGACCCCAGCCACGGCAACCCAGAGGCGCGTGGACAGCCAGCCGAGGCATCCATGCTGCCCGCCTGCCACGCCGACACCCTCACCTGCCCCGCCAGCATGTAGCGGTGCAGCCGGTCAATCTCAGCCAGCTCCAGGCCGGTGGTGTCTGGCAGGAAGACCCAGGTGATGACGGCGCCGACGATGCCGGCGCCCGCTGAGGCGTAGAAGGTGGCCACGGTGGAGACCTGCAGCGCATCAAGTTTCACACAAGTGCGGTCTGTGGGCGCTCGAGCGCAGGTGCCGGGGCGGCACGCACGTGGCGAGGGGGAGGCCGCCTAGCAGTGCCCAGCCACCTTGATACCCCGTGCAGCTCACGTTAGAGAAGACCGAGGCGGCCAGGATGGCGCCCAGCTTGCCGGCGGAGGCCGAGATGCCGTGGAAGAAAGCGCGCACGTCTGTGGGGTACACCTCGCCCGCCACAAGGAAGGAGGTGCAGTTGGGGCCAAACTGGTTGAAGAAGGAAGACAGGAAGTAGAGGGTCTGCAAGGAGGGGAGGGGGCACCGTTGGTCGAGGGGTTCGGTTTGGGGCGATTGGGGAGGACTGAACGCACGGCATGGGCAGATTTGTGGCTCGGTCGCTCGTCTCCTCCTGCCACGGCAAGCAGCTCCTTCCCAGCTTGGCTGGCCGCTGGAACAACCACAGCGGCAAGCGTAACAGTGCCTGGCTGGCGGTCTGCTTGCTTTATCCATTAGACACTTTGCTCACCTGAAACACCTGGATGGCGTTGTCGAGGAGTTGGTTGTAGAAGATGCCGCAGGCAATGAACAGAAAAAACATCATCAGGAACCCTGAAACATTGCAGCAGCGAGCATCTTGAGTATGACACTCACAACAGCATGGCGCATGGGCGTGGCCCCCACCCTGAACGCACCCATAGCCTGCAGCCGCTTGCGCCCCATCCACTTCTTATCAATCGTGTAGGCGGCAGCATAGTCTGCAGAAGAAACGGCGTCGTCGGAAGCAAGGGATGCAGAGGCCGGAGGCCTGTCGGGTGCTTGGATGGCAGCGGTGGCAGTGATTGCAGCCAGCCAGTACTCACAACCACACAGGGATACGCCTGAATTGAGCAGAGTCCACTGCATGGATACGAAGCGCGAGGCGCCGGGAGAGATGACTGCGATGAACTGGGACTGGAACAGCTGCACTTCCAGCATGCGAGGCAAGCAGGGAAGGAGGTGTGTGCACGGGTCGCGGGCGAGCGCAAGCAGGACAGAGCATGGCCAGAATGAGGCCGGCGGCCGCCTGCCTTGTTCCCGTAAAACTGCAGGGCAAGGGGGCTGGTGTGAGTCGGTCGGAGAGTGCAAATACAGCAGGCGAAATGCGGCCCAAGCGGCCGGGCTGGGCGTTCAATCGCCTGCTGCTATTGGCCCTTCAAACTCACCGCAAAGTCGTCAGCCACCCAGCCCATGCATGTGATGAAGAGGCGGGGCCAGTAGAACTTGAAGATAACCAGGTGTTCCCGCCACGACCGCTTGCCTGCCAGCTGCAGCATGAGCCATAAGACCTTCTTGTGAGGTGGTGGGCGTTGCAGGCGTGGCGGGGCGTGGGGCTTTGCCTCTCTGCCTGGTGAATGTTCAGATGATGCGAGCAAGAAAGCAGCCGGCACACGGTGCATGCTTGCGTGGCTAGCGCCCATCCTGAGCTGCCGCGCTCACCGCTGCCTCGTCTTGCTCCTCAACCAGCTCCTTCTGCACGCTCTCGTGCTCCGCCTTCCACACCTGCGCAAGGACAGAGGGCCAGCATCCGGCAGGTCTGTCTAATTAGCCCAGAGGTGCATGCTCCTGCTCCAGCCTTGTGCCGGCTTGCAGCCCGGAAAATGGGGATGTGTGCACAGACAGGGCGGTGGCCGTGGGCGGGCGGCTGCAGTGGAAGCTGGAGGCAATAAGGGCTGTACCTCAGACTCCTCGAGGTACAGCCAGCGGTACGCGGTTACGACGAAGCAGATGACGGCGCCCACGCCAAACTGCAGGCATGACACGGTGGATACCAAAGAAAGAGGCTTGATGGCAGGCATTCGCCAGCACAGAGCGGCCTGCAGGAGCCACGACTCTAGCGCTGATGCCACTGTTGGCTCGCCCTCGTGGTTACCTGCAGCCGCCACGTCAGCTCAGCGTCGTGGGCGCTCACTGTTTCTGTTGCCCCCAGCATGGCCAGCAGCAGCAGGATGACCTGCAAAGAAGAAGAAAAGAAGAGCATTAGAAACAGGCGGTGGCAGCCGCCACCTAGGGTGCACGACGCATTGCATGCTGCCTGATCTGCTGAAATCAGGTGTGCTTGCACCCCTACCAGTGTGTTGACAAAGTTGCTGCTCTCATCCAAGTGCACCATGGGGAGGAGGGGCATGAGAGAGTGAGGAAGAAACAGAGGGGGAGGTGGTGGTCCATCGCTGTGTCACTGGCAGGGGCACCAGATGGGCGCTCCAGCCCCCCACTCACCCCCATCCTTGCTGCGAGAAGGTCAACACGACGACCTCGCCGCGGCGGTGCCGCAGCTCCGGATCTGCCTCAGCCCGCTCTGCCGCCGAGCTGGAGGAAAGTGGGTACTCGCCACCCACACCACAGGCTGCAGGCGGTGCCGCAGAGCGATCGAAAGCGAGTTAGGCACGCGGGTCAGCGCTGCGCTGGAGTCACTGGGGCAGAGTGCAGCTGAACTCTGCACAGGTCTGCATGTTGGCGATGGCGGCAGCGGGCCGGCAGCGGCGCAGCGCACCGTAGAAGAAGAGGGAGAAGCAGAAGACGGAGAGGAAGACCTGGGCATTGGGCCCGTAGGCGCCAGTCAGCAGGCAGGCCCCCACAAACATGATGGCCATTGTGAACCTGCGCCCAGGCAGGCAGGCAGGCAGGCAGCAGGCGCGGTGAAGCTGCGCTGTCGCCCAGCAGCAGCAGCAGCGGCGGCGGCAACAGCAGCGGCAGCGCCAACCGAAGATGCAGCAGACGCAGGCGCCAGTGAGGGCGGCACGCCGGCGCAGCTGGGGCTCTGGGAGCCACTCCCGGGCGGCTGCCTCGTGTGCCGCACCTGCTGCCCCACTTGCGGCCGATGACGTCGGCAATGAACCCAAACGTCCTGCAATGGGGGAGGCAGGCAAAGGGCAGGGGGGACCCCTTGAGTGTGTTGCGGCCTAAGGCTGCCTTTCCAAGCGCGGTGCAGGCTGTCCTGCCGTGTCGCTGGCTGTACCGCCGTTAGCACCACTCACAGCATGCCCACGATGATGGCGCTGATCTCGATATTCTGTGAAACAGGCGGGGAGAGCAGGTGGGCGGGGGATGAGGGGCGACGCTCGAGCGAGGAAAGGGAAGGCTGCACAGAGCAAATTGCTGGCCTCTGCTCTGATCACAACCCGATGGGGCCTCGGCAGCCAAGAGCATGCGCTGCTGACCCCTTCCCGCCCAGAGCGACTGCGTTTCTGTCCCCTTTGTCACTGCCCCAACACCTGAATGTTGTTCTCTGTGGTCTGGTTGCAATCGGGAGGCTCCTCGTCGCCAAAGCAGTTGGGATACTGGATGGCCAGCAGCGGCTCAATGTTGCCCTGCGGACGGTGTGCAGCGGCAGCCGGCGGCCTCATCAGCAGCCGCAGCAGCACAAGCAGCAGTGGTTGCGGCCCGCGCTGCAAGCTGAGTGCCCAGGACATGCATGGCGCCGCCAGCGGCGGGCAGCAGCAGTGGCCAGCCGCAGCACCACTTACGATCGCGAAAATGAAGTAGGCTTCGCTGCAGGCAGGAAGTGGCAGTGCAAGCAAGTACGCATCGAGTCCTGGGTGTGCATCCTGACAGCCCACATGGTGAACAGTGCATGCCCCAGCATGCACCTCAACTTGCCTGAACATGCCCATGCCCGGCAGCAGGAAGGCGACCCACCACCGCCAGGCCAGCAGCAGTGGGTTGCATGTCGCGGGGGGCTTGGGCGGCGCGAGGTTGTGGTCGGCTGCAGAAGGGGAGCAGGGGTGGCAGGCCCAGGAACCCTCAGGCGGGGCATCGTTTAGGAAAGCAAACCGCCTGGCTCACATGCTGGCATGGCTGCGCTGGAGCTAGTGCAGTGCAGAGCAGTGCATCCTGCGCGTGCCGCCTCGCATTGATGAGCCACCAAGCGCTGCTCCTCCTGGTCGAGGGGCAAGCAGCTGCCGCTGGCCCTGCACCAGCCACTTACCCGACATGAGGCGGGACAGCACCCTAACCTCCTCAACGCTGTGCCGCTCGCTCAGCGCGCGCAGCTCTGCATCAGGCCAAGGCAGCGCCACGGCGAGGCATGAGGAGGGATCACGTGGGAAGGCGATGCCCGCGGCTGATGATTTCCCCCCGATCACATTTACAATGTCCCCACCCGCGCTCGCACACCGCCACCGCACGTGCACAAGACAATCACGCAGCCCCGCACCATCGCCCAGGTTCTCCACATCAAATGCATCCTTTGCGAGCTTCTTGGATGACACCTTCTCCAGGCTCTCGTCGCCGGCATGGTCCACCTCCAGCCCTGCGGCGATAATGCGGGCGAGCGACAAGGAGAAAGGGACACCGGAGGTGACGGACCGGCCCGTGCGATTTCCCACGTGTCAGCTGCCGTCGCCGCCCTGCTGCTGCTGGTTCTGCATGCTCGTGGTTTTAGGCATGGCAGGGGATGTGTTACCTGAGTGGACGGAATTGAACTGGGACACCTTCCGCTCCAGGGCGTCCTCATCTATGGCGGCGGCCTCGTTGGCGGCGGCAGGGGCGGTGGCGCTCGTTCCGTTGGGCGCGGCATCCGTCCCAGCATGCTCCTCTGGAGTGGCTGGCATGCTTCCCTGGCCTGCGGTGCTCAAGAGGAGGTCCGCGACCTGAACGGGCGAGGTTTTGCTCAAACGCTTGCTGGCGTCCTGCAAGCTTCAATAACGACCTGCTGGACTTGCTCCGATGCAAGCAGCTTGCAGGGAGTTTCTACGATACTCGGAGCCTCCGGGCACTAGTACACGGGAGCCTCTGGGCGCAGAGCGGCGAAACCCGCAGTCAGCGCACCTCCAGGGAGTTGCAGGAATAACAAACGCTCTAAAAAGCCCGCGACAATAGATTCCATGATTCCAAAAGCCCTGTTGGCCGGCCGCCACCTGGCGGTGGCACCCTGCCTCGAGCTGCAGCGAATTCGCCAAATGCTGGCGAATTCGGGCCCAAAAACGGCTCTGGCTGGCCCATCGCAAAAAAACGGCTCTGGCTGGCCCATCGCCAGCCAGAGCTGGCTAAATGAGGGCAGGCGGCGGGGCGTCATCGCCAGCGCGTTGCCAGCCCCCCTGGCTGGCGTCGCCATTATTTTGAGGAGCAATGGCCAATTCTCCTCAGGAACTTCATTCCATAGTGTTAAACAAGCGCCAGCTTTCTGGGGGCTTCGCCTCCAATCGCCAAAAGGGAGGCAAGTGCCGACAAAGCAACAGGAGCAGCATGTGGCCGCTGCGCTGTGCCAGGCGCAAGGGTGGTTCCCCCGCATTTCGCCAATCCTCAATGTGCCATCGCCAGCTGATTGGCGAAATTTGGACGCGACAGCGGTCCTCATCGCCCGCCCATCGCCAAAGCTGCCACGAGGGCCAGAAACACTGCTGCATGTTGCTGCACAGACGTCTATAGTGGCCACTGCCACTGTGATGGGTCCTGGCACACACTTTTAACTGCAGCAAATTGTAACAAGCAAAGTCGCCAAGCCGTCACGGGGCTTGCCCCATCAGGATGACGAGATGAACACGAAGACCAGCCAACATGAAATGAAGAAACCTCTGCCTGGGCCGCAAACCGGCCCAGTAACGAAAGACTTGCCTCGCCTCGCGTGGACTCCATCGGGCGCTCACTTGCCAGCGCCACCAAAGCGCAGCGCCTGCAGAATGCGGCCGCCGCCCGGGACGGGGTGCGGGCCCTTGAACTTGCCCAGCTGCGCCTCTGCAGGCAGGAAACGAGGCAACCAGCCGGGCAGGGGTCGCGTGGCACACATCATATTGATGGGGTGATGCTTAGGGAAGCCGGGCGCCTCCAGGAAGCTCTGGTGCCTCTGGCCGTTGCCACATGCCAAACCCGCCCCCCGCCCCCTGCACACCCACCCGAGTTGGCCTTGGCAAGCGCCGTCAGGATCGCCTGCGCCTTGTCCCAGTTCTCCTCCTTGCCGGCCCACGCCTTGAGCGTGGCGGACTGCGCCATTGGGGAGGCGTGCAGCGCAGGGCGCGGCAGGGTCAGGCGGCGGGGGCCAGGGCAGGAAAGCGAGGTGGAGGCACGGGTGGAACGCAGGGCGCTGCAGGTCGCCGCGATGCGTGGCACGAGCAGGCGGCGAGCAGGCAGCCAGCCAGCATGCCGATGCACGCCACGCCATGCCATGCATGCCGTTCCTTGCCATGGGCCACACCACACCCGGCCCCACAATCGCCGGCCAAAGCGGTGCGCCATGCCGCGCCTCCCGCATGCCCCCGCACCTGCAGCGCGCGGCCGTAGCTGAAGGTGAGGCTCCAGGGCGCGTTGGGGCAGGCCTCCTGCAGCGCCTGCAGGTTCAGCGTGCTTTCCTCCTCGCTCATGCCGCCTGCGGGATAGAGACGGAGCGGGGCGGGGCCAGAGGCAAGACAGGGAGGCACGTGAGGTAGCGGTGGAGGGCCATCCACCTGCGAGGTCCAGCTGGGGGGGTACCAGCAGCAGGGCCGCCAGCTGGCCACAGCCAGGGAGGCAGCCGGCTGCCTCACCCTCATCCGCCCACAGCCAGCATCGCTGCAGCATCTCATGCCTCAGCTGGCTGTGCCTCACCAGACAGGAAATGGATGCCGGGGACGGCGGCGGGGATGGTGCGCAGCATGGTGCGCGTCGTGTACTTGGCGACCTCGGCGGGGGAAGCGGGGGGCGCGTCAAGGCCTGCAGCGGAACACACGCATGGGGGACGAGGCGACGAGGAGATGTCAGCGAGGGTGGAGGAGTGGTGAAATGGGGGTGTAAGGAAACACAGCACACAGGGCCAGAAAGGCAGCACACAGGGGCGCCAACACGCAGCGCCGCGCTGCGTGGATAAAAACCGGCGCTCTGCCCGTGCTGTCGCCAGCCGCGGCCTCACCGGGCAGGCACATGTTGGGCTTCAGCAGGATTCCCTCCAGCATCACGTCATACTCATTCAGCAGCCGCATCACGTGGCTGCACATAGGAGAGGCGGAAGCAAGGCGCCGGGGTGGGTGGGTGGGCGAAGGGACAGGGCCAGCCAAGGCCGCGCTGGGGCGTCCCTGAGGTGCGCCCCACCCACACCTGGCGCGGCGCCTCAGCTGCCCACCCGCCACCCACACACCTGTACACCCGCTCACTCCAGTAGGCCGTCTCCTCAACGCTGTAAGCACCGGGGCCCAGCGTCACCTGCGCACATCGAAGCGCGCACACACACCAGCTGAGCGCCGCTCTCCCGCCGAGAGAGGCGACTGCCGGCTGCTGCCAGCTCACACAGGCACCACTGCTGCCCCTGTCCCAGCCCCGGTCTACATCCCGTCTTCGCCTCCCCTTTACCCGCCCCGCTCCTCTCCCCTACCTCCCCGCCTCCCCTGCCGCCCCCTGACCCAGCCCCTGCCCCACCTCAGGCTCCACAATGGGCACCAGCCCGTTGTGCTGGGCGATCTGGGCGTAGCGGGCCAGGCCGTGCGCGTTCTCCAGGATGGCCTGGCTGGAGGGGCCCTCGCCCTCTGAAATCTTCAGCACAGCGCGCCACCTGCGCGGGGTTGGCAGCCAGATAGGGAGGCAGGGAGCGAGGTAGGCAGCAGGTGGGAGACTCACGGCAGCAGGGCACAGGCAGGTTGGCGGAGCCAGCAGGCCAGCGGGCGTCCTCTCGTGTCAGCCGCCGGCGTCACATCCATGCATCCCGCGGCACATGCTACTGCCGGCTGCCGGCTGCCCAACTGCCGCCTGCCGGCCTGATCGCTGGCTCACTCACTTGGCGAAGCGGGCTCCCTGCTTGTAATACGCCTCGCAGCGCTGCAACACACGAGTGGAACGGAACGGTGCAGTGCTCGGTGCGCTGCCAGAGCGGCGACCCCCCAACACCACGCCAGCGACCTGCCCCAGCCGCCCACTGCGGCCTCCTCCCTGCGGCGCGCTGCCTGGCAGTATTTCCCAGCCAGCCAGTACCCACTTGCATGGCCTGGCGGTTGAGCGGCGGCAAGCGGCACCCACGGCATGCACTTTGCGTCAAGGGCGGTCACTCACGGCGCCCAGGTTGTCCAGCCCTTGTGTGGACGTCTCGCCGTCGGTGCCGGGCAGCACCTGCAGGCCGGTGTCAACCTTGATGCCGGGCAGGATGCCCTGGGCCTGCACAGAGGAGGGAGAGGAGAGGCGGGGTGGGGCAGAAGGGGCGTGTGAGGGGCCATGCCTGCAAGGTGTGGGCGGCGGCTGAGCAGCCCCGGCCCCAATGGCCGATGACTGCCGCACGGCGCACCTTGAGCACGTCCACAAACTGGGTGCCTGCAGGCGTCAGCAGGTAGCGCTTCCAGCTCAGCAGCGTGGCAGCCAAGCCCCAGGCCATGGCGGAGCACCCCACCCCAGCCGCCCACCACCCTGCTGCCCCGCAAGCATCCATCCCATCTGTGCCCATCCTGAGCCTCACCATCCCGCCCCTTCTGGTAGAGAGTCTCCTCAAACATGATGGCACCAGAGATGTACTGGCCAAGCCCTGCAGGCAGCAGGCGCCAGGGAGGGCGGCTACGCGGGAGGCATGGAGGACGTGCAGGCAGCCAGGCGAAGCGGCGGCGACCGGTGGCAGGCGGAGGCAAGCCGGCGGACTAGCTGCCCCGCCTCAGCCTCTGGCCAGCTGGAGTGTAGCCAGGCTCACCGGGGGCGGTGTACAGCAGCTGGCGCCAGTCGCGCCGGTTCTCCTCTGTGTTCTCCACTTCCACGCTCTCCAGCCGCTTGCCTGCAGCACAGCGGCGGAGCCCGCCGTGCCGCGTTTAGCGCCCGCAGCGAGGCAGGTGGGCAGCACAAGGCCACGCCCCTGCCTACATCCTACATCTCAAGGCCCCAGCCACCCACCAGTGGTGGCATTGGACTCGTCGCTGGCGAGGATGCCGCGGCCGCGCTGCGAGATGTACTTGGCGGTTGCCTGCAGGCGGGAAGGGATGGCGTGAGGCACGGTTTCGCGTGAGTGGCAGAGCAGGTGGCGATGCAGCTCCTGAATTCTCTTGCCAGGCAATCATTAATCAGTCGTCACCTTCAGCTCCTCCGCGAAAGGGTTCTCCTTCTCGGTGGCCAGGCCCGCGACCACCCCCATGGGGCGGCGGCTGCCGGCGGCGGCGGCCGAGAAGGGGCGGCAGCATGGCCTGGCCGCCATCGTCTGGCTGAAGGTCTGCATGGTGGCCTGCATTGTCGGATCTGCATGGGAGGCCAAGGAGCAGCGCAATGCGCGTCTGAGGTCCTGGCAGCGACAACCTGCGCCAGAGCCAGGAGATAAGAAGGCCGCCACACCTGCGTTTCGCTCGTTCCTAACACAGTCAACGGCGTTTGCACTCGCACAAACCGCACGAAAGCCCGCATGGCTTGGCCGAAGGGGCATGGTGCCCCGCTGGCGCCACCGTCCACGCCGCCATGGCGCCTTGCATGGCTTGTCCTCGCCTGTTGGAGAGGGTTACGATGGATTATGGGCCCACTGCATTTCCACAACCAACTTACAGAGGTCCTGGGCAACCTGTGAGCTTGCCGCTAGGCCACCCTTGCAATTGCCACTCCCCTTCGCAAGAGCCCGCCGCTCCGCCCCTTGAACCGCCAGGCCGTCCCTGCCCGTCGCACTAAGTTTACACAAATGCTCTGAAAATCCTCTCAATCCGAATCCCTCCAACCAAAACATGAAAAAAGCCAGGAAAAAAAAGTTTGTTCTGAAAAAGCATATGCAAAGAATGAGAAACTATCCACGAATTCGTTGGTCGGGGTCTTGCCGCTAATCGCATCAACAAGGCAGACACGCAAATGGGAAAAGGGGAGAATGAAGGGGCGCGGTGGTCGCACTGGGAGAACGACGCGGCGCAGCAGAAAAGGGAGGATGTTGTACAGGTGCGGTGCTGCTCCCAGGAGCAGCACCCAATCGGCGGCGGCCAATGCCCCGCCACCTTCACTCCTGGCGCTTGAGCATGGGGGAAATTCGTTGCAGCAGCGCGTGCAGCTGCTCCGCGCCGATCCCGCCGTTGACCTGCGCCGGGCCCAGCTGGCCGGCGGGCGCGCTGTGCGCGGCGCCGCCATCCTGCTTCTGCTGCTGCTGGGCCGACGCCGTGGCGTCAGCCAGCTGCTGCTGCTGCAGCTGCTGCGCGGCGTGCTGCTGCTGCTGCGCCTGCTGCTGCGCGGCGTGCTGCTGCGCGGCCAGCACCTGGGCAGTGAGCCCGGGCGGCGGCGCCGCCTGCAGCACCCCCACCAGCTGCCCCAGCTGGCCCAGGATGTGATCCAGCTGCTGCTGCACGCCCCGCGCCTCCGCCCGCAGCTGCGGGTCGCCGCTCGCGCCGCCGTGCTGCGCGACGGCCGCCGACGCGGCGGCCTGTCGGGCCTGGATCCCCGCCAGCAGCGGCAGCAGCTGCTGGTCCAGCAGCGCCGCCGCCTCGACACGCGCCAGCTGCTGCTGCAGCTGACCCACCACGATGCCGCCAATCAGGCCCTGCAGCTGCTGCAGCATCTGCAGCGCCGTCAGCAGCTGCTCCAGGTCCTGTTGCTGCTGCAGCTCCTGCAGCAGCGCGTGCTGCGGCGCCGCCATGTCGGCGAGGCGCAGCGCGGCGGCGCCGCCGCGGGGCGCCGCCGCCGGCTGCTCCACGCTGGCGCGGGAGGAAAGAACGGAGGCCAGGTACGGCAGCAGCTCGCTGGCGTTGGGGCCCACGATCGTGTCCCCGCTGCCGCGCGGCGCGTGGAAGGCTGTGGCGGCCGCGCTGGGGGCGCTGCCGGGGGGCGAGGGCGGCGCGCCGCCGCCCAGCACCGCAGCCAGGAAGTTGGCCGGAGGCTCGGCGGGTGCGCCGGTGGCCAGTGCCGGCCCGCCGCCGGTCAGGGCGGCCAGGGAGGGCAGGCCAGTGCCGCCTGCGAGCGAGACAGACAGGCGAGGCGGCAACATTGAGGGTGGCGGAATGTGGGGAAGAGGCGCGCGGCCGGCCGCAGGGCGCCCAGCCCCGCGCAGCCAACCGCTGGCAGTGGCAGGGAAACAGGCAGCTGACGGCAGCCCCGCCCCGCCCCACCCCGCCCGCCTCTCCCGCTCCCCTGCCCGCCCCCGGCGCCCGCTCACCGTGGCTGGGCGTGGGGCGCAGCGGCGGCAGGTGCGCGGACAGGTGGCCCGACTGCTGCGCCGGCTCCGGCTGCGGCTCCAGGATGCTGCTGCCCTTGAGCTCCACCGCACCAATCGGCACGGGCCCCATCTGGTGCTGGGTGAGGCCGCCGGCGGCGGCGGCGACGGCCGCAGCCCCCGCGCTGCCGCCCGGCCCGGGCTCATCCGAGGAAAGAGGCGGCAGCGCCGCCTCCAGCAGGGCCGCCAGCTGCGCGGGCGCGCCGGCGGTGGTGCTGCGTGTGGTGCCGTCGGGCTGGCGCGACACGGCGGAGCAGGGGCTGCCGCGCTCGCCGGCGGCGGCGGCGGCGGCGGCGGCGGCGGCAAACGCCACCGCGCGCTGAATGCCACCCATGCCCGCGCCGCCGCCGTCGAGGCCGGGCACGCCGTGCGCCAGGCTGGCCGCCCGCCCCTCCTCCTGCTCGTTGCTGCTGTAGCTGCGGGTGGCGATGTCGCTGGCGGATGGGGCGCGGCGGCCGCCGCTGCGCCTCAGGTGGCGCTTGGCCAGGCTGGCGCGGCACGAGCGCTTGGTGCCCTCAAACGCGGCCAGCGGCTCCAGCTTGGTGCACTGCTGGCAGAAGCGCATGAAGCCACCGTACGCGTCGGGGATGGCGTCGGCGCGGGCGTGCTCCTCTGCACGCAGGGCGGGGGAAGGGGGATGAGCCCGGCGTGGGGGATTCGGGGAGTTGCAGGCACGGTTAAGTAATCGCGACGGCCCTCTAGGGCGGTGGTGCTGTTGCGGCGGGAACAAGTGGCTCGAGGCGGGCGGGCCACTCTGTAGGTGGCATGCCTGGCGCGTGGTGCATGATGCAGCACGGCAGGGAAAAGGAACGGCCAGGCGCGCGTGCATGCCGGCTGTTGAGGTGGAGCGGCTGCCCGCTCGAGGCGGCGGCGGCAGCGGCGGCAGGCGTGGCGCGGCGGCATGTTGCGTGCACTCACCGCAAATGTGCTGGCGCTGGAAGTAGCTGCGCAGGCCGGCCAGGTCTGCCGGGCAGCCCTCCACCTGCGCGCAGCACCAACAGAAGGTGCGGTGAGCGCGGTGGAAGCTGCGGGGCGCTGGCGTGCGCGCAGGCCACACAGGTTTGGCGGGCCCTCGTGGGAGGGGGGCCGTCCCCGGCGGCCGGCGTCCCCGCCCTGCCTGCGCAGCAGCCCGAGAGGAGGAGCCCATGGCGGGCCTCACCTGACACGCCAGGGAAGGGCGCCGCATCGGGGCGGGTGGGCGGCGCTGCCCTTGAAGCCTGTCGCTCGTAGGGAGGAACGCCCGTTGAGCCGTCTAGGTCCAAGCGTTTTGCGAAGCAGGTGTGAGGCTCAAGCCAGGTGTGGACGACACAAGCTACTGCGTCGCCAGCTAGCACTTGCTGAGGCTCTCAACACACTTTGCAAAAGCCTGAAAACTACCCTCCTGGATCCGCCCCCGCGTTATCACCAAGCATGGCACTATTACAGCACGTTGACCTTCCGGCCCTGGCGTTCACGCCGCCTCCTGGCCCTCCTGCATCCCAAGGCCGCATGCAGGGGCAATGTAGCTCAAGGTGGGAGCCGGCTAAATCTCCCTAGTGCGCAAAACCGAGCCTGTACCAGGGCGAGACGCGGGGCGGGGAGCTTCCCGCCCCAGCGCAGCTGTCGGGCGTTCTCAGGGCTTCCCAAAGCCTGTCGCGGCTTGCAGGACGCGGGTTTGGGCCCACAGAACATGCTTTCCGGAGCGCGGTGGACGTGGTACTTGGTTGGCCAAAGCGGCGAGCCCGCCGCCGCTGCCGCCACCCGCCACTCGCTGCGCCGACTCCCGCTTCCAGCGGATCAATTCCCAATGCAATCACGGCAGACCACTGCCGTCCACAGGTTGTCATCCACCCATCAGTTCAGGAGAAGGCACGCTGGGCACCCGATTGCGCAGAGAACAGCTTTGCATGCATGGTTGTGCAGGCAGAACTTGCAAAAGGGAGATTCACTATCTTCGTGCAAGGCATGCATTCAAGCGTTAAGTGAAACCTAGAAAGGAGCTGCCCAGCACTAGCGCTGGTGCAGGACACAGTTGTGGAGGGGAGGGAGGCGGTTGTGCGAGCGCAGGGCGTGATGCCCCATCCGCGGTGCCCGCCTCAGCTCTTGACGACGATGACGGGGCACTCCAGCCTGCCCACACAGTAGTCCGAGACGCTGCCCAGCCCCACAAAGCTCATCATGGCACTGCGGGCAGGCGGGGGAGCGCCTTGAGCCAGCAGGGCGCAGGAGGCCGAGGTCCTGGTTTGCAGCGCAGGCCGTCCCCCTGCCGCTGCAAGCCGGCTCGCTGCCTCACCGCTTGAAGCTGCCCATGCCGCGGGCGCCCATTGCGACCAGATCCACGCCATTTTCTCGCGCGTAGTGGACAACCGACTCCCCAACATCTGCGATAACAAGCGAGCAGCTAACATCACTCTGGCACAGCAGCAGCAGTGACAGCGCGGCAGGCGAGGCAGCGCAGCAGGCAGGGCAGGGCAGGGCAGCGGGTGTGCCTGATGCGCCGCCCTCTGGCGCCAGTGCCTTGAAGAAGATCTTTGCCTTGTCCACCTGCAGGCAGGAAGGCGGGGGGCAGGTGAATGGGCCAGCAGCGTCGCCTGGGGAGGACAGGAAAGAGGCAGCCGGCAGGGGACGGCGCGGCGCCGGCTACCTCCGCCCAGCACAGTAATGGCAGCGGCAGGTGGCGAGCCAAGACAGCATCCGCAGGCTGCCCGGCCCCTTCCCGCAGCACGCCGCTGCAGATGCGATGCAGGTGCAGCCCAGGTGCACCGCGTGGCCTGGGGCTAGCCGACGGGATAGGTACCTTGACGGCTGCCGCATCCACCGCCTGGCTAACAACCTCGCGAGCATAGTGTATGCTGTCTTGCAGGGCGCTGTCAAACTCATCCGCCTCCAGCACCTCTGAAGACACAGCATCCTCGGCCACTATCTGCGGCGGCGGCGGCGGCGGCGGCGGCGGCGGCGGCGGCGGCCCCAGGGTCAGCACGAGCGTCCAGCACCTTGCACGCGGCACAGACCTGCAGCGGCCCGCTGGCGTGCTCCACAGCGGCGGCCACTGTGGCCTGTGTGTGCTGCATGGAGCCGCGATACGAGGCCTCCCACTCGTCAGGGGGAAGCGGCGGCGAGGTGTACTCCTCAGCTGGACTCACCTGCACACCGCAGCAGCAGGGCCGGGAGACAGGGTAACAAGGCGACGCAAATCACAGAGCTGTATGAGTGGTGGCAGCCAGGCCGGCAACAAGGCAGCGGCAGCAGCAGCCGGGCTGCTGGCTCCCTTGCCCTCCCCCCCGCCACCTGCGCCTCCCGCTCAGCAAGCACGCGGCGCAGCGAGCGGCGCGTCACGGCCTCCGCCTCACGCAGCGCGGCACGCTGCCGCTGCCGCCAGCCCTGCACATCCGGCTGCGGCAGGTGGTTGTCCACGTATGCACTCACCTGCAGGGGCCAGCGGTATGGGCATGCATCACTCGCAGCAGGCTGCCGCAGCCTGCAGCTGCTTGCCCTTGTGCTGCGCACACCATGCAGGCCCAGGGCCTCGTGTGCCATCCATGCCTCAGCTGCCAGCTCACCGGGTACGGGATGGGCAGCGCCACGCACACCAGGTGAAGCTCGTCCTCTGGCCCCAGCGCATTCTGCACCACCCACTGCACCAGAGGACGGCGGCGACAGCGGCGGCAGCAGAGCAGCCGCACAGCCACAGCGGGGCGTCAACAAGGGGCGGGCTGGAGGCAGAGAGGTCGGTGAAGGCACTGCCAGGAGCAGCGGCGCAGCAGCAGTGGCAGCAACAGACAGCCCATGCTGACATGCACGCGTTAGCTCCCTGTGTGCAAGTGCGGGCTGGCGGCGGCGGCGGAATCGCAGCGCACCTCCAGCGCTGTCCTGCTCGTCTCCGAGTCGTCAAGGCTCACCATCACCTTGTGACGGGCCTGCGCAAGCGGCAAGCAGCAGCAGCAGGAGCAGGCAGCCTGTGAGCGGCCAAGCAGCTTCCCGGGGCGTCTCCGCAGCTGCGGCTGCTTGGCACCACCCACCCGCGCAGCCACCCCACCTTGCGCTCCACGTCCTCCGGCCTGCCCCGGCAGACCGCCACGGGCACGTGCATGTTGTGAACCAGGTAGCCTGCAGCGGGATGTGACGCCAGCGGGGCGGCGCCAGTGGGGCAGCTGGCGGCGGGTGGGCAGCAGCTGGGGGGCCAGCCAGGCTGGCACGCCAAGCAGCTTCGCAGGCACAGAGCAGCCGGCACCGCCACTTTTGCTGTGCGGGGCAGCGCAAGGCGCGGCAGTACAAGAAAATGTGCGGTGCTCACTTGATACGGAGCCCAGGCCGACCAGCGACATGATTGCCGACTTGACCGCACCCATGCCCCTGCTGCCCACCACCACCAGGTCAGCGCCCTTTTCCTTGCAAAAGCACACCACCGACTCAGCCACGCCTGCATCAACAGGTGCAGGGTGCTAAGAGGCAGCCAGCACGCAGCCTGGTGGCGGAGCGGGCAGCACACGCCGCAGTCAGCGGGCCAACCCGCACTGCCGGGTGACACCCGCACCTGAAGCGCCGCCGGCAGCCGGCAGCACGTGGCGGTGGATGTCCAGCCCTTCCTTCACGCCCTCGGGCAGCTTGTCCACCAGCTGCGGTCGGGGAGGGAGAGGCGTAGTGTGTTGTGATGGGAGCTGGGGACCTTGGGTGTGCTGCACCAGCCCGCACCACGAGCGCAGGCGCGCAGCGGTCCACCCGCCTGGTGCAGCAGCTGGCGGCAGAGCTCCTCATCCGCCTTGCGCTGCTGCTCCCAGTTGATGGACAGGGCCGCCACCTGGGCACAGGGCAGGGCCGAGCACAGGTGAGAGGGGCAGGCGAGGAAGGAGCAGCACAGCTCCGTTGGCGGCGGGGGCTGGCAGCGCGGAGCACGGCGCACCCACCGCTCCTGCACTGGCTATCGGTGCCGCTGGTGTCATTGCATACGAGGGCGGAGGCGCAATGGAAACGTAGTGTAGCTCGTCGCCCGGACGAGCAAAGTTCAGGGCCGCCCACGTCCCCGCGCCCTGGGAGTGTGGAGAGTCGTCCACGGCGGCCACGAGGACGCGCCCCATGATCTCGGAAACGCTTTCGGAGGCAGGGATTACTTGTTGATGGAAGGAACTGTGGAACTCGCTCTCGGATCACACCCGGGCGTCTGAATGTGGGTCTCTATGTTGCATGTAATGCAAAGCGTTACGGTTCAGAGCTGGGGAGGGCTCTCCCGGCCTAGGCCCACGTGGGGACGCCACGTGTGCAAGAAAGCCGCGGCTAGCCGGCTTAAGCCTCTTCATTTCACTCGTGGCCACGCTCCTAAGCTGCCCCATTCGCATTCATTGCCATCCCCACCAATGTGGGACGCCATCCCTGCTGATGCCCTAAGACTCTCTTTTGCATTGTTGTCATCTGGGGATAGAACAGCCTGCAGAACGGTGAGCAGGTCATGGAGGCAGGCAGAGGATGCGAGCAGCGAGGTGTGGGGAGCAGTGGCGATGCGCTGCTGCACCGCCGACGGCTCTCCCGCCGCCAGCGACAGCGGGAGCGGCCTGCTGCATTCCCAGCCCGCACCACCGCCAGAGGCCCTGGCCAGCCTGCTCCACCGACAGCGGCAGCACCTCCGGCGGCTGCAACTGGACTTGCACGCCGCTGACACCGCTGCGGTGGTGCTATCTGCGGCGTGCAGCGAGGGCAGCGGGGTGACCGATGTCTCGCTGGCGTTCCAGGGTAGCCTGCCCAGTGGCGTTCTCCTGGCCCTGCCGGGCTCCGCCTCTCAGTTCACCGCCCTGGCACTCAAGCCGCTGCCGGGCAGGCGGCTCGCCGCCGCGCCTTGGAGCCAGCTCAGCCACCTGGACCAGCTCGCCTCGCTCTCGGTCACTGCAGACCTCAGCCTCATGAGCGACGCCGACGCCACGCTGCCCCGCCTCACCTCCCTCACCCGCCTGCGGCTGCACGGCACTCCAGCTGCCGGACGGCCCCAGGAGGTCGGCCGCGCGATGCTGCACTGCCCGCCCAGCATGCTGCGACTGGAGCTGGCGGCAGTAGAGCTGCTGTGGGGCGACCGCTGGCAGCCGCTTCTGGCAGGCGCAGGACTGGGCCCACAACCAGCCGACGCTTCTGACAGTGCCAGCAGCAGCAGCGAGTCCGAGGATGGAAGCAGCAGCGATTCTGACATGCCAGCTGGCTCAGAGTCTGATGAAAGTATAGAGGAGGAGGCAGCAGAGGAGGAACAGGACGAGGCGGAGGAGCAGCAGGAGGAGGAGCCAGAGGAGGAGGAGCAGCAGCAGCAGGAAGGGGCAGGGGTTGTGGTGATGGCCAGCAGCAGCTCTGCAGCTGCATGCCCCGGACAGGCTCAGGATCTGGCGACCAGCTGGCGCCGGCTGGAGGCGCTGCGCCTGCACAGCTGCAATGTCAGGGCTGAGGTGCTGACAGGTGGGTGGGAGCCAGTGCAGGACGGTGAAACAGAGGCGAGGTGCGCCGGTTCCTGCCGCATCTGTGTGGCAAGCCCGGGCACCAGCAGGGAGCACGTCACTCTCTCTCCACAAGGAGAGTAGCTGCCATTCCTGCCACGCAGTGCTGCCAACGCTCGCCGCGCTTACCTCGCTGCACCTGGCGCCTCAAGGCTGCTCCCTGGCCGTTGTGAAGATCGCCCAGCGCTGCGCCGGGCTGCAGGTGCGCAGCCATCGCATGTTTCCAGCGGCCGGGAGCAACCAGCATGCGTGGACGGCAGGGAAGGGGCGCCGCCGGCAGCCTTGTCGGTTCCCTCCCAGCTGTTGCTAGCTGTTGGGTTGCTGCAGTGCCGCTCCATGCTCTGGCCCTGTGTCGCTGGTCGCAGGAGCTGGTGCTGGGGCGGTACCGCGATTACCATCTGCCTGTACTGCCGGCCGGGGCCCTGTCTCAGCTGACACGCCTCAGGTGGGCGCCGCAGAGGCCCGGAACAGAGGCGGTGGGCGGCCTGGCTTGTGTGCCGAGTGCTCCACCGGCAGTCAAACAGCAGGTCGTCTTCTTTGAGCCCCTCAGGACGTTGGTGCATGGCCTGTCGCCCCTCTTCCCCCTGCAGGATCAGCGGCAGCGACGAGCTGATGAAGCTGCACCCCTCGTGGTGCGCGCTGCCCAACCTGCTGGTGCGGCCCTGCTGGCAGCTGGCATGTGATGGCGGGCCTGGCATGCACGCCAGCCCAGCCAGCCTGCATCTCGGCCAACCTCAGTGCTGCCCAAATTCATCTCTTGTTGCTCTCCGCCACCCGGATGTCCATCCCGCAGCATGCCACCTGCCGCCGTCCCTTTGCCTGCCCCTGCGCAGAGCTTTGAGCTGGAGTCTTGCGAGCAGCTGCTGTGTGAGCACCTGCCGGTGGAGCTTTCGTGCCTCACGCGCCTGCAGCGCGTCTGCTTCAGCCACCAGCACATGGTGGGCCTCCCCTGGCAGCTGACCGGCCTGTCCCAAGTGAGCGGCGGCGGGGCGGGCAGGCGGGGCTTGGCAGGGGGCAAGCAGCGCCAGGGGGCAAGAGAAACTGTTTCCCTTGCGTGGTGGTCCTCTGTGCCCTCGGCATTGCCTGTTGCGTGACAGGGCTCAGCACACACAGCGCTGCGCTGCGTGCAGCTGACCCGCCTGGCGGTGGCGGCCTGCTCGCTGGAGCTCCCCCTGCCGGAGGGCCCGTACCTGCGCAGCCTGCGGGAGCTGGTCCTGTTTGCCAACAACCTCAGGCAAGAGCCTACTTTCTGCGTGGCTCAGCTGCATTAAGCGCAGGAGCCATGCCGTGAGTGTGCCCGTACAGCTAGCTGAGCCTGCCTGATGTGGACAGCCGCCCTGCCCGTGCTTTCAGCTGCGTGCCGGCCGCGTTGGCGCACCCCGACTTTGGGGCTCTTGGGCTACGCCGGCTGGACCTAAGCTCCAACTACAGCCACTCCCTCAGGTGAGGGGGCAGGGCAGGGCAGTCGCCGCTGCGCAGGCTCCGGGAGCGCTGCCGGTGCCGGTTCAAGCCTGCCGGGCGGTGCTGCGCTGCGCTGCGCCATGACACGCGTGCTGCGCTGTGCCGTGCAGCGAGGCTGACGTGGCGGTCCTGGCCCGCCTGACCTGCCTGACCACACTGGACCTGCGGCGCCAGCAGTACAGCAGCGGCGACGCACACCCGGAAGACCTGCTGCGCCAGCTCAGAGCGGCGCTGCCGCGCTGCGACATCCATGCCTGATTGGTCCGGCTGCCTCGCCCTAGTGCTGCCCAGCAGGCCCGCACGGGTGGCCAACATGCCATGACACACACAACTGCTGTGCATGAGTGTTACATCAAGCGTGCAGGCAAGCAATCTGTGTGATCCAGTGACAGCAGCCGGCAATGCCCCGACCGTGTGAGGTGCCACCCCGCCTGCCCGCCCGCCCCTACAACTTCTGCTGCCGCTGCCGCTGCTGCTCCAGCTCTTGCTGGTGCCGCGCCAGGGCGGCGTCTATGGCTGCCGACAGCGGGCGGAGCATCATTGTCACGTAGACCTGGTGTGAGGAGCCTGCAAGGGATGCATGGTGTTGGCACGTGTATGTGTGGGTGAGTGGTGTTGGTGGTAGGGGCTACGTCGAGAGCACAGCCGTCTGTCGGCAGCAGCAGCGAGCCAGCCCAGCCTCGGATGCCTTCCCAAGCCAGACCTCCCGGCAGCAGCTCCGGCCCCTGGCCCCAGCTCCGGCACACTTGCGCCAGCCACCCACCCGCGTGGTGCCGCATGTGCGAGGCCAGCAGCGTACGCTGCTCGGCCAGGTGCTGCGACAGCTTGGCGGCCTTGGCGGCCTTGGCGGCGCTGGTCAGCGGCATGCAGCCCCAGAAGTGGCGCAGCAGCTCGTTGGTTTTCAGGGCCTCGGCGCGCAGGTGCTCCTGCAGGTTGGTGTGGGCAGGAGAGTAATTGTGTGGGAGCCGTGGTGCGAGGGTAGTGATCGTGCGTGCGTTGGTGGAGGGCGTGGCGTGTGCAGGCACAGCTCGGGACGCTGGGAATGGCAGGTCGAGGAGCTGGCCGGGCACTGCCGGCACCGGCGCGCAAGGTTCAGGGGATGGATGGCGGCCCGCCCGCCGTGCTCACCAGCAGCAGCTCCTGCAGGCCCTGTGTGCGGTCGTGCGGCGGCACGCGCAGCGCGGCGGCTGCCACGGGCCCAAACTCCCGCACCAGCTCCTCATCCTGGTCCTGGCTGACCTCCAGAAGCACCGCGGAGGCCAGATCGGGGTCGCAGGGAGGATCTGGCAGCGCCGCGGGCTGGATGGCTGCCAGCGCAGCCAGCAGCAGGCCGCCGCTGCCACGAGCGCCGGCCTCGGCAGCGGCCGCTGCTGTCCCGCTTGCTGCCGTCGCCCCCGGCTCGGCCTGCTGCTGCTTGCCCTCGGCGCCTCCTGCTGCTGCTCCGGCGTCAAAGTAAGCGCGGGGGTCTTGGATATTGAGGGGAGCAAACTGCTTGTCCCTCTCATCCAGAGCCAGGTCTTCCAGCGCCGACGCCGCCCGCTCCTGCCACTGCTGCAGGCGCTCCGGAGACACGCTGCCGTCGCCGGCCTGGCGGGGCGCCGCCGCCGCCTTGGCCGCAGCCGCCTTCTGCTGCGCCACCAGCGCCGCAGCGATGCGGCCCGTCTCCACCTGCTGCTGCTGCTCGCCGTGGGCGCCGCCGCCGCCGCCGCCGCCGTCCGCGTCGGGTAGCGCCTCGGGCGCCCCGTCCAGCACCACGGCGGCGTGGCGGTTTATGTCTCGCGCGATAGAGTCCCGGGCCGCGCCGCGCACCGCAGCCGCCGGGTCGCTGGCGCCGTCTCGCAGCGAGCCGAAGCCGCCGGCGAAACGCTCGCCCGCATCGGCCGCCAGGTTGACTGTGGGGTCCACCCGCGAGACAGCCTGCTTGGCTCGCACCGCCTCCTGCACGCCGGCATTGGAGTGGCAGGAGGAGTTGGGAATGGGGAGGGGGCAGCATGCCCAACTGTGGTCAAGACACCCGAGGGTTTGTTAGCCCCCCAGGCCCACATAGGTGGCAGGGAATTCACATTTCCAAATCGACAATGCAGGAGAACCGCCCACATGCGCAGCCTCCAACCTACGACACCCGCCCGCCAGCGCAGCCATCTGCTGCCGCGCTCGCTCACCTGCTCCTGCAGCTGCCGCTTGAAGGGCGCAAACAGCTCATCGTCGTCGTCGTCGCCGCCATCTCCCATCAGCCCCTGCCGCCGCCTGCAATGACAACACCACGGCGCGACATGCATGGGCAGGCAGCAGAAGCGGCAGCGGGGGGCAGTCAGTGTTCCCCAATGCCCATCCAATCAGCGCATCCGACCAAGGCGCTGCTGCCGCATCCCCAACGGCGGCAGGGTGGCGGCGGCATGCTGGCGGCGGGTCCGTACCGCCTGGCCATGCGCTTGTACTGCTGCTGGAAGTAGAGCGTCCAGAAGGCCTTCTCATCCATGCTGTGCGGCACGTGCGCCAGGTAGGCGCGGTGCACTTCAGGCCGTTCGCTAAATATCTGTGCCAAGGAATGCACAGGAGGCCTCAGCCATGCAGGGAGGCGCCCCCGCTCACACGCCTAGTGGCCGGCAGCAAGGGCAGCAGGCAGACACCAGGCGCCCGCTGGGGCGCATGAGCACGCGGCCAAGCTGGCAAGCCATGCCAGCACGTGCGGCCGCTGCCAGCTGGTGCCAGCTGGCGCTCGCCTGCTGGATGATCTGCGGCGTGAGCGAGAAGTGGACCTTCTCTGTCTGCCCATCCGCGCTGGGCTTGACGTCTGCCAGCATGGCGCTGGGCAGGCCGACCCGCTGGCGACGGCTTGCGCCCCCGCCGCCGCCGCCGCCGCCGCGTGCCAGGGCATCCCTCAGCTGCCCCTGCCGCGTGCGCCAGAACTCCTGCTCCCCTAGGATGCCTGCCACCACTAGCGACTTGTAGACAGACTCCAAGTCGTTGTCTGCCCGGAACAGCGCCGCCGCCTGCTGCGGCGTGGGCAGCAGCAGCTTCTCGCCGCCGCTGCCTGCTGCTGCGGCCGCTGCCTTGGGCGCCGCTGCCGGCTTGGCCTGCCGCAGCAGCTCCACGGCATCGTCGCGGTCTGCCACTTGCTGGAAGGCCAGAATGAGGGGCCCTGCCGCCGTCTCGAGCTTGATGAAGGGCTTGCCGGGTGCCTGCTGCGTCCCTGCAGGCGGAGCGGGGCGAGGCGATGGGCAGGGTGGGCGCATGCAGGCAACAGGCCCCTGGCTGGGAGGTTGCAATAGCACGCACCGAGGGACGAGGCGGCAGGCGGCAAGAATGGCGGCAGCGGCGGCGGCAGCGGCGGCAGCGGCTATGCCGCTGGCGCACGGCTGCTTACTAGTGATGGAGCTGATCTCAATCACCGTCGGCTGCGCCTTCGAAGGGTCGCTGGGCTCCCACTTGACCTTCGTCCGGCTGATCATGCAGACTCCGTCCACCGCATTTGCACCCGTGCCCCGCTGGGCCTTCTTGGTGAAGATCACCGGGTCTGAGGACTCCGCCATAGCGACCAGCCGATACAAAGTCACAACATGCCGATTTGGAATGGAAGGCAGTAGCTCAATATGTGTTGCGCTCTAGTGATCGCACACGTAGATGGATGCGGAAACAATGTTAGCCAAAGCGCCTGAGGAATATAAGAAGCGCGTGCTGGGCGGCGCCACGGCGGCACAGCAGCCGCCGCAGACCGCGAGTCTGCCTGTGTGACTGGGTGATGCCGCAGGTTACATGCACCTGATCAACATTGCCATACTGGCCAGGATCCACGGGTAAATCATGGTCGAAGCAGGCGGCGGCACTCCTGCAGGCTGCGCTGCAGGATGTGGTGCTGCCCCTGCAGGTAAATCTTGCAGAAGCGGCGGCTCATGTGCCAGTCGGCATCGAAACCGTTCTCGTTGCACTGATCCTGCTGCTGCTGCTGCTGCTGTTGCTGCGGCTTGGCTTCCATGCTGCCACCCTCCTGATGCTGCCCTGCTGCTGCTTCCTGACTCATGCTGCCGCTTGCTGCCGCTGCGGCACCCTGCAGGTGCAGCTGCTCTAGTGCCCCTTCTGCCTGCTCCTGCGCAGGCGCCGTCTCCCCATCGTTGCCGCCGCCGCTGCTGCCGCCAGCCGCTGACACATCAGCCTGCCTAGCTTCTGCACCTTCCACCGCTCCTGCCTCCGCCGGCAGATCCTCTTCTAGCAGCAGCGGCAGGAGCTCCAGCGGTGCTAGGAGCTCCACCAGCGCTGCTTCTAGCGTCCGCAGCGCCTGGTCTTCGTTTTCGGGCGCGATGGCGCCAGCCAGCGGGTCTACCTTGTGCTTGACCACCAGCTGCAGCTCGGCCGACGTGGCCACAATCAGCCGCAGGCAGGCCAGCAGCTGCGGGGGTGGTGCACAGGGAGGCAGGGTCAGTGATCCAACAAAAGGGAATCACGGCGAAGGCCGAGGCAATATGCATGCAACTGAGCCGAGGCGCACAGCGGCTGGCAGCTGGCAGCTGCGCCTGGCGCACCTGCTTGGACAGCGGCCCGTCCTGCAGGCTGTGCTCCAGGCCCAGCCCCAGCGCCTCCATCGCCGCCAGCTGCTGCTGCTTGAGGGGCCCCTCTGGCGGCTGCGGCGCACAGTAGGGCGGACAGGCAGGCAGGCGGTCAAACACAGACCGTGCCACCTATCCCTACCCTTGTCCACACCCTGCACTCACGTGTGCGTGTACACACACACACACACACTGCCACTACTGCCTGCCTCCGCCCACCTCCAGCTGCAGCGGCACGAGGTCGTGGGGGTTGTGCGGTACCACAAAGCCGTAGTAGCAGAGCAGCTTCAGGTTGGGCACCGGGCCGTACGAGATGAAGACCTGAGAGGCACAGCGGGCTGCTGCTGCTGCTGATGGCGGCGGGCAGTGGCAGGCAGGCAGGCGGGGAGCCATGCAGGCAGGACACTAGGCATGCCCATGCTGGCGGCGTGCCTTCCCCTGCACAGCATCACACCTGCTGGCCCGCCTGGCAGGGGCGGAATGCTGGATAGTCCAGGGTGCGGGTCTTGGGGTTCAGCCTGCCGTACCGCACACAGTGAGGCCAGGGGCTGTGGTTGATGTGGCAGGCAAACGGCACCATGACTGGCTTGCTGCTGCTGCTGCCGCCGCCGCTGCTGCTGCTGCCGCTGACACCTGCGACCGCTGTGCCCGCTGCCAAACTGCTGGCCTTGCTGCCACTGCGCTTCGCCTTACTGCCGCTGCCCTTGCCCTTGGTGCCTTTCCCGCGGCTGGCGGCGGACGCACCGCTCTTGGGCCCCGCTGCTGCTGCTGCTGCTCCCTTGGGTGTCTCTGCTGGAAACTCCACCTCAAAAGCGTAACTGCATGGAGAGGGCGTAGGGCCTAGGATGGTAGTTGGGCAAGCACAGCCTCTCAGCAACCGCGACTATGCTCAGCGGCCAGAACAGCAGTACCTACTAGCAGCAGTACCAGCGGTACCAACCTGTACCACAGCTCGGCAGCCCACAGGTAGCAGTCATAGTCAAACCACTCGGGTTTGAGAAACTGGGGGTAGGCTGTCAGTAGCATGTCAAACAGAGGGCGGGTGGCGGCATACTGCAGGCAGGGCGCCAGGAATCAAGGCTGGCAGTCGGGCACGGGCTGTGCTGCGGGGCTGTGCTGCGGGCCCATGCCTGCCCAGGCACAGCAGCATGGCTGAGCTGTTGCCTCCCGTCACTGCTCAAGGCTCGCAGGCTGTGCTGCAGGTCACGCTGCAGCGCAGCGACAGCCGCATGAGCCCTGCCCACCTGGTCCTGCAGGTGCTGCTGGGCGCGGGCCAGCTCCAGGTGCGCTGCGGTACCGGCCAGGGAGTCAACCAGCGGCTGGGGGAAGGAGATGCCTGTGTAGTATTTGTCCGGCAGGGAGTGCCAGTACCGTGCCCACCTGCTGTCCTCGTCGTGCCTGCAAAAGCGCAGCAAGAGCGCAGCGGCGGCAGTGCCAGAGGAGAGGAGCGACACAGCGGCGTCAAGAAAGCGAAGGTTTAGCTAGCTAGGAGGAGGGGAAGCAGGGCTGCAATGGAATGGAGAAAAGGAAGCTTCTAGCCGGCTGGTGTGTCGCTGCACACCCTCCCACCGGTCGATCATGGTGAACAGGACGAGCAGGTTGTCAATGGTGAGGTCGGGGATGGCGTGCAGCATGCGCCCCAGGTCTGTGCCCTTCACGCTATCCTCATAAATCAGCACATCCGCTGGGATGGACAGCAGCGGCTCCCCGGGGGCCACGTCCCGGCTGGCAGCGCAGCCGCGCAGGCTGCCAAAGCTGGCAAGGGAGATGGCGGCTGCCACGCCCTGCTCCCGCGCCCACGCCTCGAAATCGGCACCGGGGCTGCCTGGTGGAGCGGCCTGGCCGCGCGGAAGCTGCGCGGCCTGCTGCTCTGGCTGCCCTGAGCTGCTCGAGCCATCCAAGCCGCTGCCGCTGCCGCTGCCGCTGCCGCTGCTCACCGCCACGTCGCCGCTGGCCAGCTCCGGCCACAGCTTCCGGCTGTACTCAGCGAGCGCTGCCAGCAGGGCTGCCTGGGCCGGGTCGCCGCTGCTGCGGCTTCGCCTGCTGCCGTAGTGGCCGAGCAGCAGGGAGACTGCCGCCGCCTCATTGCGCAGGTTGAGCGGCTGCCTCAGCTGGGAGGGGTCTTGAAGGAAGTACACCTCGATCTGCACGACGGTGGCGCCCAGTGGCAGGTCAGGTGGCAGAGGCGGCGGCTGGCGGCGGCAGTGGCGGCAGCCTGACTGAGCCTGCTGGAACTGGCTGGCCGCTGATCCCATCACCATCGCTGCACACCAGTGAGTGAGTCAGCCACCAAATGCGACAGCCAGGGACGCCCCTGCGGCACCTCCGCATGCGGCTGTGCCCACCTTGCTGATGCAGTTGATGCGGGCAGCCACCAAGAGCTCATCGAGGCTCGGGGAGTCGCCCTGAAGCGCACTCAGCACCTGCAGCGCCTCCAGCAAGTCCCGCTTGTGCTCGTCGGAGACGTCGAACAGCCCCTCCACCGTGTCCATTGCAGGATCATATGATCACATGCAGCGCAATAGTTCAAGCCGGTGTGCGCCTATGAGGGTCTACTGTGCTGCCGCCGCCAGCTAAGCGCCGCTTCCCATCAGGGCCCTGGGCCATCACCACTAGAATTATGAGCGTTACTGGGGCTCCCAGCTATCCAGCGGCAGCCTCCGCCCCAAATAACATGCGCCGCGCGTTATCGTAGACCTGCTGCGCCAGCTGCTCCTGGTCTTGGATGCCGCGGTGCCCCGCCACCACCTCCAGCACTTGTGCGATGCAGCAGGGCTCGTTCCGGCTCTTTACCAGCTTGCCGGCCTCGTGCTTCTTCCGGTCCTTGGCCTCCCACTTGGTCACCACATACTTGCTGCCTGCAGCAGGCGCAGTAGGGGGAAGTCGGGAGGGCAGAGCGGTCCATTGGGCTTGAGCTGTGCGACGGGGAGCACTGGGCTTCCAGCAAGCCTCACACGGCCAGCTCACCAGCGTGGCTGGGGCGGATCTCGCACCAGGGGCAGTCCGTCTCTATGAGAAGCCGGTCCAGCGGCACTGCCGCCATCACCTCCAAGTTTTCAGCCGTTTTCAGCGAGCAGCCGTTGATGCCTATGCTGCAGCCCCAAAAGGCAGGCAGCAAATGTGTGGCGAACATGTGGGGGCAGCGCGGGTCAGCAGTCGCCGGATTCAGCCCGTCCTTCCCGTCCCCTTCCCACTCCACCTACCTCAGCTTGTCATGCTGCAGTATCTGGCGAAGCTCATCCAAGCTGCCATCAAACGAGTGAACCACTCCCGCCGGGAAGTCGCCTGCGGAAGGCCCCGGCAGCCAGGCATGTGGATACCACTTCCAGCTGGCTGCCCAGGTGGGCAGCGCAGGCCAGCAGCACGGCAGCAATGCGCTGTCCCCGCCTCCTCTCCACTGCTTCAGCGCTGCAGGCTGCATGCAACTGGCATTCCACTCTGGATGCCTCACCCGCATGCCGCTCCACGATGTCTAGAAAGTCTGCCGCCGCGGCCCGCAGGTGGAGGAACATGGGCAGCCCGCTGCTGCGTGCCAGCTCAAACTGCAGGGCAAAGTATCGGCGCTGCGTCTCGGCGTCGCAAAAGTGCAGCCTGCGCGAGGCGGCACGGAGCGGCAACAGGGCTATGCCTGGTGAGCAGGCGCCAGGTCCGCACCATGGCAGGCCATCGCCCAAGGAAACTTGCCTCTCCTGGAGCACCCTGAGGCAAATGGCCCTCGGCTGGAGCACGTTGCACCATGCACAGGCACCACAGCGCACCCCCCACCTATCGTAGTCCAGCCCCGTCTCTCCCACCGCCACCACCTTGCCATCCGACTGCCCATCCTGCAGCACGTCCAGCAGCTCCGCCATGTTCGCATCCGGCCCTCCTGGGTGTGCCTCAAACTCGCCACACCGGGTGGGGTGCACCCCCACTGTGCTGAACAGCCGTTCTGCAGCAGTGGTAGGATGATATGGCGTTGGTTATGACGGTGTTGGGATTGGCAGGGAAGTGGCGGTGCGGGACAGGGACGAGGCGAGATGCAAACCGATCAGCCATTGCACCGAGCGCAGCAAGCTGCGAGCGAGCAGGGGCGCACCGTGGGTGCGGGCAAGTGCCAGCGCAGCTTTGGCTTCCGCCAGGCTGCCAGCTGTGATGATCAGACGGTCCACTCCTGTGGGTCAGGTGGCGCAGCAGCAGAAGTGGCAGAATCGGACGTGCCGCCCTGCAAAAGGGCGGGCAGCCTGTCATGCATGCATCCGGGCGGCAGCGCAGCGGCAGTACGGCTTGCCTGCATCAAACGCGCGCTGCAACACTGCCTCAAGGTCGGGGCTGTGGTACTGCTTGTCATTGTACCGCCCCTCGAACATCGTGTCCAACAGATTGGCGCCGATATCTGCAGGCCAGGAAGCAAAAACAGGCGGGCCAGGAGAGAGTGCGTCGGGGGCGGCTATCAGTGAGCTACTTGCCGTGCCCATTCGAGGACATGGATTCCCTCCTGACCATGCCCCTCCTGCCTCCCCACACAGCTCCAGGAACACAGCAGGGCTTGGCGGTAGGACAGCAAAACGGCAGCAGAGCGACACGGCTGCCGCCGAGCGCGTGCTGCCGCCGCTGCAGGTTGCCGCGTCGCCGGCAGCTCGCCCAGCACCCCAGCGCGCCCCACGGGACTCGCGTCGAACAATTGATCACACCTATGTATTTCTTCATCCCTGCTGCCGCCATGCGATTCGATGCGCCCCTGGCAGACGGGCGCCCCCGGGCAAGCGCTGGTGCTGCCGCTGTGAGGCAGCGCGCGATCATTTGAGCCCTAGGGAGGCTTGGTGCCCAGCTCATCTCTGCCGCGCTGGAGTCCAGTCGGCAGCTTCCGAGCATGCCGGCAGGTAGAGAGATCGCAACGGAGATGTAGGGGAAGAGTGGCGCCCTTCAATGCACTGAACTGGAAGCTTCAGGGCTGCCGCCAAACGTGTTTGAAAGCAGGATTCCCTACAACCCCTGCCCCGCTCTTTTCCCGCCTACACCCTTGCCGCGTTGCCGCCGACCTAGAGCACCGTCCCCCCGGAACCACCTTTGACCAATGTGTCGCCGAAACCGGGTTGTGCAGCCTCCGTTTTGTTGCCGGGGTGCGAAGAAGTGGGGATGGGAGGGCTTGCTGGCACACATAGTCGCAGGCTCCCAGGTGATGGCGGCCGGCACTCGTGCCCCAGCGCCATGCGTGTATCCGCACATGTTGCCGCACATTCAGGTGTCCTGATTTTCATTGAACCAGTGGATTGGGCCATGTGATCACAGCAGTGAATCCCCTGCAGCTTTCTTTTTAGAGAACACAGCCTTGCACGGGCGGCGGCGGTTCGGTTGGGGGAGGTCAACCGCCACACGCAGGTTCCATTCGGATCGGGAGGGGTGGGCGTCAGGAGGGAGGCAGTGCCCAGCTCCCGCTGTTGGAAGCAGAGTGACACGGCAGCAATGTGGTGTGCCCAGGCCTGCCCCCTCGGGGGGTGTCCTGTGCGCTGCTATCCAGCGCGCAGCGGCTGGCGGGGAAGCTGGCCAAGCCCAAGCTGCCCCAGGCTGCTGCATTCGAACGCAGGCATGCGTGGTGCAGGGATAGCAAACAAAACCGACGCAGAGGGCGATCTAGAGGGCCGCAGGGGATGCCCTTCCCGCCTTCCCGCCCCGGTCAGGCAAGGTCTGCCAGGGCTGACCGCCAAGACACTCCAGTCAGCACGAAGGTCTGTACCGGTGGCCCCTATCCTCCGTGTTGCTTCAAGACACCGAACTCGATCCATTCTTCAAATCCTCCACTCAATACCCCTTTGTGGAACTCTGGACGTGAGGCACCGCGTGAACACACTGGCCCCACGAAGCCTCGCAGGTGGGAGAGGGTATGTGTGGGCGCTGCGCACCCGGGGCTCGCTTGTTGCAGTGTTTGTATTGCTGTGGGGGCGCTGGCGTGGGCGATATGGCCTGGGCGTGCTCGGACACCGCTGACGCGTTCCCCTTCCTGTGTTGCCCCCTGATGTGGCACCCTCCCGATTGGGCAACCCCCGCCCCCGCTCCCTCCTGGCAGCCCGCGCGGCGCTCCCCTCCCATACGTGAACTGACCCCATATAGCCCTGTTTGAGGGTTGAGCGGGGCGGAGCGGGGCTGCTTGCACACGTGATGGCATGCACGCTTCAACGCTCCCGCTGTCATCTCACCTCTCTAGCGTCAGAAATACAACTCTTACAAGCCAACCAACACGAACAGAGAGACCGAACAACAGAAATGAACAGGAAATATGAAGCCGCCACAGGCGGCAGCACCTTCCAGCGGAGACGGCAAAGCGTACAAGGCACACTTTTTC